TGGGTTTGTAGCCCGCGAGGCGGGATCGTGGATGTGCACTGCTGAGAAGTCCCACAATTGGAGGAATAGGCCTTCCAGCGCTTCCAGGTTTTCCAATGTGGTCTAGCTTCAAGTGACTCATGATCTCAACAATTGAAATTAAATGTAATGAAATTGAAGAAATGTAAACAAAAGTGTTGTAAGTAGAAATGATATGCATGAAAAGATCTTGAATTATCTAACATAATAACAAGAGATCATAGAACAAAAGAAAATAATAATTGATGATGTAATGAAGTAGCTAATCATAAGTCGACGGTGATTAAGAATAAGATGAGTTGATATTAGTCAGTTTAGACATAAAATTATAAATTCGAAAGCAATGAAACTGATTCAGTCAAAATGGGTGAAAGAGTTGGACAAATGACGTAGTAAATTGAGGGTAATTTCACCATGAAAAGGAATTACCACTATTTCTTTGTGTATACATAATTCCCATTTGAGAAATGCGGTGTCTGTAGCTTGGGAAATTTTAGGAAGAATTAAGTTTGATTGTCGATTGATAGTCTTAAAAGATTCCCGTGAATCAACCTAGTGTTCTTTGCCAGAGATGTTTAAAAATAACACTACTGAAAGCACTTATTCCCTTTGACCTAGGACTATTGACATGCTCTTGGAACCAAACATATAACCTTTCTGTTCTACCTACCTAAATACGTGGGGAGATACGTTTAGAATTAGATATGCATAGATACCAATTTATCTTAGATTGTTGTAGAGAGAATGTTGCTTCGTGTAAACCAATCAACTTGACTGCAGGATATGTTCTGGTCAGCATGATCATTAATCTTCTGTTTATTGTTGCTGCAACATCATCAACTTTCGATTTAAGCTAAATAAAAATAAGTATTTGTCTAGTATGGTTTCTTCAGGCGTCCTATTTTTACTTCTAATAAATTTCTATAGATACCCGTTGTTTCTTAGATAATTTTTAACGTTCATTAATTCTACTTCCAGTGGTTCGGTAGTACATATCCTTCCTATTATGTACAATAGCGTCTTGATCAGTAACATTCCATAAGTAATTGATCAAAATCTTTGAAAATCAGATAAACTCCATTTCATGTTTTTCTTTTTGATAAAGTAAATGTTAGTTTTTACTATCCTCCTTCCGTTTTATAGTGATGTCAAGGTGTAACTTGTTATTCTTTCAATGTTTCATAATAAACTGGATACTTTGATGAGCGTATTTGAAAAGGTTCAGCAGATATTTTGTTTATTGTTAACCATTACATGCAACAAAAGCACCGTCAACATACCCCCCATAATACAGTATTTTACCAATAGCTTCTTTAAATTTAATCTTTTCAAGATAAATCTTGAATATATATATCATTACTTACAACTTTTTTATTCCTTCAATCTCATTACATTCTGTTTGAATCGCCAACCCATCATAATTGATATGGTGACCCAATCAGAAGTAACTAAATGAGGTCACTTGTGGGTGATCTGAAATGACCTGAAGGATAAGTGAATATAATTGGCCGAAAAATGGATTAGTTTTCTAAAGGGTAGATATGAATGTATATAAATGAGTATTTGTGCAAGTTATTCAATAGACAAATATGTTTTCTCGCTTGCTATTGTGTTCTCGCTCAAGTAGTCAAGTGGGAGATTAGCGTGTAGCATCCCAGTGCCCAATTTTGGGGAAAATGGCATCTAAACTCCGAAATTCCCCCTAAATCTTGGTAAAGGTCATTTGACTTAGCGGATTTCACCAAATTTCCCAAAACTTGGGACATTGTGTATCAATATTAGATCTCGGATACCGCCCATTATAACAATAATGATATATACATATAAACATCTAGACAATTTCAATGTAATAAATATATTTTTTTATTATTTTAAAATACTATCGGTTACAAGCTGCTGATACGAAACCCTAACGAGATGAATCTATGTTATTCTGCTGAATTCTTTGTTCGTGCTTTCTTAAAGATAATAAAGTTTATGTAGTAAGATTTTCATAGTTAAATTGTTTGAAATATTAGTCACTCTACGTTCATATTATTTGTGAAAAGGAATTATATATTGTGTAAAAATGACTCGTATATGGTAACAATTCTGTGAAGTCACTGAATATACGTTTCTGCCTCTGATGTGTTAAAAAGTACAGATCTACTGATTGATATACGCAAAATCATATCCAGATTAGCGGCTGTTTTTTTTGCGATAACAAAGTTAAAAATCTAGCAAAGTGACGTATATAAAATCAGTTGTCATTTATCTACATTTTAAGCTTCTTGCTCTTTCACATACTTTTTTTCATATCCCCTTGTATTCTGTCCAATGTTCATCTTATAACTTTCCTCTTTTGATTGAATTTCGCTTTATATTGGTTTATAGAAATCTCAGTAATTTGAATAAATAAACATTGTACATATTCTATGTTATTATATGATTGTAACTAGTGAAGTGATTAGCTAATTAAGATGAGTGAAGGGTTCTTAACACTGTTACTTACCGTTAAGTGAAATACTTAATATTAGAAATGTTATTTGTATTAATTTTTCCCTATCAAGTTGTAAAGTAGTCGATACTGCAGTTTAATGAAAGAAATTTAGTATTCTTTAAAATAAATTCTCTTCGATTAAGAATAGATCATGGTGACTTTTAGCTGCGATACTTGGATTAAATAATTCTTCAGTGATCTAGTCAAAATTTATTGGAACAGAACAAGAATGAACTTAGGTTATTAAGGTATCTTAACTAAATCTGACTCACGGAATTGCTTAATCTCAAATTACTTGGTGACTAAGACTCAGAATACGAAAAGTTCACGAACGATGTGTTTCAAATGCATCAGAGGATAAAATCAGTGATGTAGAGTGCAAACTGGGCAGGAAGTAACTCATTGTTTAACAGACAGACAAGAGTTCGATGAAATACTCCTCAACAGTGCTCATCCATGGCCCTACACGCGGGACTCGAATCCTAGACCTTTGAATCCCGCGCACAGGCGCTTAACCTCTAGACTATTGATCCGACATCCAACGGTGTTAATATCTAACTTCAAATAATTCACGAAATTGAGCGACACATCCACCATTGTCTTCCGTGAGTTACTATCTCACAACAGTGATTCAGTTGTCGATGAATTAATGGACCGATGCCTAGTTTTGATTTGGCCGCACCCAAGTTTCTTCTACTTAACTCCCACACTAGTTATCACCCGTCGAGGTAAGCGGTGATCGCGCATACGTATGACACTTTCCAACCACCTCAGTTGATGAAGATTTACTACTTCATCAATCGGTTTGCCATTCTTACCTAATACTTCGTTCTTATCCCAGTAATTGCTTACCTAGTGATCCAGAAATACACGGGCAATGCTTTAAAGATACTTATGATCAAATACCGGTACCCTACCAATGTCCTCTACTCTTAATGGACACGCTTCACATCCATAAAGTAGGACTACTGAGCAGTAAACTCGTCCTTTAGTTTACAGACGGATATTTCTCCTACGCCACAAGTGACCTAATTTGACAAAAGCCAGTCGAGCATACTGAATCTGTACCAAGATATCGTCAGACACTAAACCAACATGAATGGTGAGACTTCCAAGATTTGTGCAGCAGTCAGTGAGTCCAGACAATTCACTCATCATCGATTCAGGAGCCAACGCAAGCCAATCCTGAAGCGACATTTCACACTTCGAAGGAAGCGAAGAATCACATTCCAAACACATGAATTGTGGTGGTCAGAAGACTGCATTTTGTCAGCGTATTTACCAAGCATATCCATATCTCCTGCGTATTTTAGGTTAACAAATGAATCTTCTGATAAGTCAACCCCTGAAAAATCAGTCCATATACCATTTTTTATGTGCCCAGTTATACGTACATAAGTGTGAAACGAACGAGTTCTAGAACCGTAAATATTTACCACTGGTTTCCAGAATATTCAGCTGTTCCATAAAGGCAAATGTTTTAAGACAGTAGAGTCAGTCGATCAATATAATCTGAACAAATTTTATCAAATAAAGCTTGTAAATGGATCTGAAATAAGCAGGTTATCTAGAGTGCACGACATCACTTCTGAAAAATGATATTTTCATTCATGTTTGTTTTGAAACACTGGCGAGTATTTATTTATCTTGGCGCAATTTTACTCTAAAAATCACCTTAGCGAAGCAATATAAGAATCAGATTATGTTCGATGGTCAGAGTAGATAAGCAGTGTAGAAATCAATTAGAGATCTTACCAATGAGCTCATTATGCCATTCCCGTCCACCGTTTTTAGGATTGAGATGCAAACACCCTAATATGTAAATAAGTTGTTAGAAATCTTATGTTGTCTATGCTTGAGCAGTGGTCGAATTCTATTAATTACTATTTATTGTATTCTATAGAGCGAATAGTAAAACATATAGGTAGCGTAATTTTTCAGCAAAGTACATTAAATATAAGACCAAACAACTGGTACGTTTTTCGCTTACTTAAACTCGACACAAATTTGAAGCTTCAGCTCGTCTATCTCTATATCGGAAACTCCGGTCTAAGACAAATATAAACCCGTGCCTTCTTGCATTACTTTCAAACGTTAAGTCATGACTAAATTTTTACTATGTACAGTATTAATCAGTAGTCTATGGTCATAATTAGCACTAAACGGTAGAAGCAAATAAAAGTCGTATTGTATATACTTGGGACTTCTAACTGGATAATCACACTCAATATATTTTATACCTGTGATTATCCCACTGTAATTTTGTAGAACTATCGTAGCGAATAAAAAGAGAACTGTATTATTTTTTCGACATATCAGCCATAAAGATATGATGAATACTGAGACAGGTAATTGCAGTCATCATAATGACTAAGAAGAATCTGACAGTTCAACTAAATACTGTTGCTACTGAAAATTCCACAGGAATATTAGTCTATCAAAGTATATCCCACTACGAAGAGATGTGAATTAGATAACAAGTTAATTCGAACAAAACCAACGATTAACTGATAAAACAATAAGTGATATTTGAAATAATACTTATGCAACATATAAATATTTATGCATAAGAACTTGTAGAAATCAAAAATCAGAAACACAACAGGATGTATACACACCAGAATAATGTTTGGTGATATACAATCGTAACAAAGAAAAACTGCAATAATATTCTAATAAACAATGAAAGTGACATGAAAACCAACTTGCAAATACACATGCTTATTTGTAAGTAGTATATTTAGGTTCAAACAACATATTCATCACTCACACAATAATTTTTTTTTATAATTTCCCACAAAGAGCAAAAACATGTGGACACAGTTTGAAAGGATGAGTAAATTACGAAAAATGAAATGAGTGTATCGCGAAAAAATGAGCAAATGTATTAGTTCTGGTAATACTTATATGTTGATATTACTGGAAATTTAAAACACAGATGATTGTCGTAGTGAATTAAAAGTGTCCATTTCTAATAGGTTCAGTAAGGTAAAAGTAAACATTATATATGTACTACTAAAATCATATTTATACATTATTATGTCAAATGCAACAATTTTTAATGTAATTCATGTTAATGCTGTAGCTGGCATAGTATTTGTATTTGGTGGATTAGGAAATGTTAAATTTAAAGAAGTTGGACAAAATTCACCACCATTTATTTTAGACATACCAATATTTGAATTCGTTAAAAAGTGTTCAACAGATACAGCGGCAGCTGCTGCCGCCGCTGCAGGATGTATAACTGCTTGTGTATGTGGATCGAGAAAAGCACAACCCTCACACTTTGTTTTTTCACAATCTCCTACATTACCAACAAGACTAAATGTATTGTTGTTATTATTACTGGTAATAGGTGTACACCGCTGACTACGTTTTTTATGTGCGCTATAACTACTGTTATCGGAAAATGATCTGCCGCAAAATTCACAACGATACGGTCTTTCACCGGTATGTATTCGTCTATGTTTTACCAGACTACTTGATACGGAAAAACTTTTGCCACAATCACAACAATGGTATGGACGTTCTCCAGTGTGTATTCGTTTATGCGCAGATAAACTACTTGAATCGGCAAACGCTCGACCACATTGCATACAAGCAAATGGTTTTTCGCCTGTATGGGTACGACGATGTTTAACTAGATCACTGGCACGATGAAATGATTTTGAACAATCTGTACAATGATGACGTTTTACACGTTCATTAGAATTAGTTGAATGACGTACAGTTACACATCGATTTGATTGGACATTATTGTTGGAAGTAGTAGTAGTAGCAGTAATGGTATTATTTCCACTATTAGTAGGTATTATACTAGGATTAATGTTGCCATTATTACTGGTAACAATCTGCTGTATATGCATAATTTCATCCTTAGAGTTACCTAAATTACTCCTGAATGAAAGTTGTCCACAATTCAGAATTGAGTGAATCTTTTTTTCAGCCTGGTGAGATAAAGTTGCACGAGCACAAAGCGCGAGATGGTTAAAATCATCAGCTAAAGGTACGCGACTAAACATTTATGTGTTTCAGAGTGGGAGACTTCTAAATGGTGAAAATATTGACACAATAAAACTGATGTGGAACGAGGTAGTCAATCAAATAAAGGTAGTATACACGAGCATTTGTTTAAAAAAAATCTACAAAAAAAAAACAAGAAAAGTAGTTAATAACATACACATAGGTTTAAAACGTTATTCATTAAACAACTGAGTAGTAGCTTGAACTTAGAATTTAAATCCAGTCTCACTGGGAAAAATAAAATTCCTAAACAGCTTAGGAAACCGTTGGATTAATGTGAAATATGAGTTTGAATACTTATTAGCATCATCCGTTTGCAAACAACAGTTACAAATAAAGACGAATGGCAGGTAATAGAAGAAATCACTGCACTAAAACTATAGTGACACAAGTGTATGTTGACTTGTATGGTGTTTTGATTACCTTAATTTTGAAATGTTTACAATGACTCAATGAGCCCCATGTTATCATCCACAAAGCATCAATATGAAAGTAACAATATCGAAACACTCTTCTCACTCACTATAAGTACTCCTCAAACCTTATCGATTGTAATGATTCACAACTACTGGATTCCATGTAATTGAATCCCTAAAAACTTCGCAAAAAATTCCCTAACCATGTTGTTTGTAAAGTGAAAATATTTTAGGTGCATTAGTGGAAGGAATTAGGCGTGTACGAAATAAAATTTACTCAGAGAACAAATGAAGCAAAAAAATACCGGAGGATGTTTCCAAAGATAATTAACCATTTATTCATAAACTATCTGTAATGACAACCATGAAAAAATAACGAATAGGTTTCACAGATGTTCCACAGAATCCCACGCTACACATTATTTTTTGTACTAGCAATGGGCGGAAAAAGTGGGGGCGGTCAAGTTACGGCAAGGGGCAGTGGAATAAAAGATAACTGTATTGGTTCATCAAGACCCCATAGATGGGTTTCTAATGCTCATGCAACTTAGTGGGTTTAACCGTTATAAGGAATGTTCCAGAGTATGAGCTAGTGGAGATCCTGGTTTGCTAGTCAGTCATAATCAACAGAGTCGTAGATAAATGTGCGTCAACACAGGTTTTCGTATCACATTAGCACAAGATAAAATTGATAAGACGATTATGAAGTAGGATTTTCTACCATTCTTTTTAAATGCAAGAGTTGCATTTGAAAATAAAAGGTCCACCTTGAAATTAAAAATGAGATTTAAATTTATGAAAATCACAGTGACTGAAACAACAACCTTACCGCCCCTCCCCAATAGCTCAGTACAATCAACTTCAAAGTTTACTTCGACAGTCTTTAACTAAACTGTATCTTTAAACAACACTACTCTTGTTCATTTATGTAGCTATCATATGGTTTTTCCTGATATAGACTTCTCAGTGTTGTCATTTTATTCACCCTGGTGCATATTTTGTACTCTATTAAACCGAATTCCTTTTGTTAGAAACTTAGTTATAAATTCCATCCAACCTGGTTTTTAGAAAAGCTTTAGCTGGGACACTGGTCTTGAGTACGAACCTAGGATGAACGCTGGATTGGATCTTCTGAGCCTAGAATTCAATATTTATAGCGCTGCGGCGAACCGCATAATTTGGAAAAATTTTGATTTATTTTCCCGTGACAACCAACAGGTTATTATGTACTTATTAGAACACAAACTTCGGTACAAGGAGGCACCAAATAGATACGCGCCACATAAACCATTCGATTTATATGAGCTCTAGGATATTGCCAGGGTGCACAGACCGAAGCAGGTGGTTATCTTAGGGGGCTACACCACGAGCCTTTGAACTAAAGGCCTATCCCACAAGGCACTTTAGCAACGTAAGGAGATGCAGTCTTATGATATCAGATGACCAACAATGGGTTCATACGCCTTTTTTTCTCTCAGGATCTTGTAGTCCATGTGCACCATTGGTTTGGAATCAGGGTTTTCCAACTCTCCTAGGTGGATCCTCCGTATCCACGACAAACGCTTGTTGAACTCTAAGGAGAACTTAGGATTGTATGGCAAACTCTACCCCCAAATAAACAGTTAATAAAGATTTTTACGGTGTATTTGACTTATCTGCCATTAGTTATAAGATGTATGCTGATTCAAAATAATTGACTGTCATATCCTAAAATTCATGAGTGGGATAGCAATGAGACCAAAGTACCTAGGTGTGGACAGTAATTGCCTGGCAACCCGAGAGTCTGCAGGTAGAGACTAATCGAAAAGAGGGGAAAAACAAAATCCGGTGGACATATTTTTACTCCAGTTGAACGATACTCGATTTGGCAAATGCAACTTGCGATTTCTTGAGACAATTTAACTAAAAAAACGGCCGGCCGTCACAGTCAGGCTCACCTCGAATTTACTGAGTTGTTCTGGCCAATACAAAAGTTACTTCATTATCGACAAACGTTTTAAAAGCCCATTTTCTGACGAATAATCACTATCGAGAAATAATTGAGGGTTGTCAGAAGGAAATTATGGCTAGAGACCGCAAACAGTGCATAAAAAAGCGCATGAAGTTGTCTTATAGAAAAGAAATTTCCTATTGATTCATCAACCCAAGTTCATTTCGTTATGCAAATCTTAGTGCTCAATATTACCGGGATTTTCCCCCAATAATGAAAACAAGAAACCGTTAATATTTGTCAAGCAATACAAAACGTAAGCCCTTGAAAATAGAGTTGATAGTTTAGTATTAGTGAAACACAGAAATAAGTACGATACCAAACAGTTACCTATAAGGTTACGCCAAATGCAAATCCCGAGCCTATAGACTTTAAGTATTGATGGCGAACTTCAATTTTCAATCTATCTACAGCAAGGAACTGTAAAACAAATCAAGGAAACATGAAAATCGAACCAAGAAATAGTGTAATTCGTAACATAGAGTATCAGATTTACGACCAGAGCATCAAGTTGCTATAAATTTTAAGCAAAATGAATAAAAACACCGCATAAAATGAAGTGAAAAGAAGTTTATGGATGATAAATAGTCGTGTATACAATCGCATATCAGGGACTTCATGATTTTTGAAGGCATAGAGTGAAGTGCTACTGGTCGGTGGCTCGAAGGTTTGTTGCGCCGACCTCCATTGAAAATTGGTGTGATGTGGAACAGCTTCCGAATTGCCGGTAATGTGCCTCAGTTCTGCGAATGTGAGAACAGCACGATAATCGGTGTTGCCAAGATTAGGGCTGCTCCGACCAGTATATCAGAATGGACCATATTCGGGCCAGGAGCAGTGTTCTTTTCTAGGCACTGCGGCAACCGGTACACCAAATCAGTGATCACGTTCACCTTTGAAAGTCCTCTTGAGTTGCAGATGAAGCTTTCATCAATATAGTCAGTGTGGGTCAGTTAAAATTCCCGGGAGCACTGTTCAGCCAGAATATTAGCGGCTTCACCGTCGTTGTTGGTTGAGCCATTAGGATTAAGCACATGAGAAACTCCAATTTTGGCTTATCGAAGAGAGGCTGCATAACGGAATAAGGTATTCAGATTGGAAACAAATTTATCGATAGGCTTTATCTGGTACTAAAGCCTGTCTTCTTTTATCGCCTTCGTGCATATTTTTCTTATTTGTTCGTATTGCCTTTATGCGCCGTTATTACCAGTTCGTTTGTATAAGGCCCAGCAGTACCTTTTGCGGCCTAGCAAACGACGAGTGCTATTCTTAATGACTATAGGTTGTTTGTAGGTTTTGGAAGCCGTTAGTGAAACAAACTGCTTTGAAGCGCATAAGACCGTGTGTGGTTACAAATCCCAATGGGCATCCAGTTGGCAACTGGCTCCTGTTAGCAAAAATTGCTAAGTTGAAGCCGCCATATTGGACGATGGGAAGGTTATTTTTATCAGCCAAGGTCTAGAATCCCCATTCTTCTTGGCTAATCTCACCACTTGTCAATTCAAAGTGTTTTTGAGCACCAAAGACTGCTTGATGAATTTTCATTCCCGAATATCAGATTTTGTGTGTATAGGGTTCGTTTTTTCTGGTACACCTTCTGCAGAAAAACTTCCTGTAAGATACCTTAGTAATGTTCCAGATGACATTGCACCCAGTAGACGGTATAACAAGCAAGATTCTTACATTGCCATCTGGTTTCATCCTCTAAGTCGGTGGCGTTAATGAGCGTTGCACGAAGTAGTCTTAGGTGATGTTGATGCATAAAGTCCTCTCCCCGACCAAGCCGTCAAAGGCTCTATTTTGAGAAGTTCGGGCTTCTTTTCAACTCTTCCCAGAGCATCTTATCATTTTGTATTGCAGGCTGAGGGGAAGGTCAGGGCTATTTTTAAGGTTCATAATTATGAGAGAATAATCTCAAACCATGATTATTTCATCGGGTTTTCGGGTACGCTCAGATTGAGGAACTTATTTTTTCGTGTTTTAAGTACGTCTCAGATTCCTGTGCTTTTTGCTGACCGGTTGGACAGTCTTGGAGGTAGGCTGTACGGCTGCTCTCATACAATCAATTCCGATTACGATTATTTTTTAAGTCGCCTTAATAACTTACTTAACAGATAATGCTATTCCAGCAGTTACAATTCGTTTATTTGTGCTATTATGGTCACTATCGTGTCTATACAAATGTGTACTCTTGGTCACATGACAGCCTATGGACATATCTCTCTCTAATTTAAATGTTGACAGCCTAAATATCACTCGTTGAATCATTCTCTTTCTTGTGCATATATTTACTCGAATCCCATTATAGCTTTTACCATACCTAGATGCGCCCTTATTCGATGTAACTATAAATTCACCTCTGTATTTGCACACACACACACACATTCGTCTCTCTGCTTCAAATTTGCTCGATGTGACTGTAGCTTTTTTATCCGCGCTATCCAATAGTAAACTGCAGTCGCCGCTTCTTATTGCCTTCTGATCATAAATACCATTGAGATTTATATAATAACGTTTACAAAGGTGATTAATTAACGAAACTAAGTTATTAAAAGTTTTCTATTAACTTGAGATCAATTCACGGAAAGTTAAATCATATATGTCGATAAATAAGCAATCAGGATTAAGTTCCATTCACTGGTTTTTTAAACAATATATCGTTCACAACGCGTAGATTGATTTTTAGAGAAAAAATTGACTAAAATTGTATAATCATATATACACTGGATATTTTACTGAAAAATAAAGGTGAGCATTCTAGTAACTCGACTATAAAAGACAGAATACATAAAAAAATATGGCTTACATTTCATTTTGAATGATTTTATGGAGTCTTTGATATGGTGTATAGTATTGATTCAGTTGATTTTCATGGGTCTTTAAGTCAAATCTAATATTTTCACCTAATCCCATTCAATATAATATTAGAATAAATAAAGACTATACTGTTGTTCATTTGATGATTACAGAGTTCAAATATGTAAGGAGTGAACCGGTGATTACTAATGATAATGGATGTTTATGACTGTATTTCATATTTGAAATTGTAAAATAATGGTTGGAAGATTAATGGATGCTACAAGACCTAAAGGTTCTTGGTTTGACCTCTAGTATGGCCATGACTTCATTGCACTGAAGCATTTCGTATTACGATGAAGTCGTTATCCACAGCACGGCTTCATTAGGTCGTACAGTACATGTATGATAGACTTCTTTAACGAGGTTACTCGTATACGTGACCAGAAGAAACTAGTTGTTATACTATATGTCTATATTAAGAAAGCCTTTGATAAAGTACCTAATAACCTCCTAATCAACAGGCTTAAGTAAGTTGGAATTATAAATCCCCTTTTGCAATGGATCAAGTATTTTCTTACGAACAGGTACCAAATAACCAAGATTAACTGTACACATCTACACCTCGACCAATATCCAGTGGTGTTGTGCAGGGTAGTTTCTTGGGTCCAATGCTCTTTATAATCTACATCAACAATATATGCAAGTGCTTTAGCACAGGTAAGACCTACCTCTGTGCCGATGACTTAAAAGTCGTCTATAAAACTAACATTTGCGATGTACGTAGTACTATGAAAACAATCCAATATGAACTCAACATGGTAGACGACTAGTGCAAACGCTGGAGTTTAGAGCTCAACACAGAGAAATGCGGTTATGTATGGGAGACACGTCTCTTAAAATAAAACTAACAGTTAACAACTGCACACTGTCCAGACTGGCATCAGTAACTGACCTAGGGGTAAATTATTCAGACAGTCTTAATTTCTCTGAACACATCTCAGCCACAGCATCTAAAATGCGGAAATTGCTTGCCTTCATTCTCCGTAAATTTTATCAAGATGAATCTAAAATCCTTCTTTATAAAGTCTGTGCAAGACCAATCGTTGAATACTGCTCGTTCTTACTTTCCAACCTACGCCTATCTGATATATTAAGATGGAAGGAATACGACGAGACTTCACCTGCAAAGTTCTTAAGACTGACTCACTCATTAACTATTTCTAACTATTTCTAAACACAAAATAATTACTGCCTATAAGTTAAGTCAATAACACGTATCGTTTTATTATTATTATTATTGTAATCCCATTTTTATAGTTCAAATAATCTTCAACCAAATTTTCATTTTAAGAGTGTTAATCATGAAAGCAGATATTTTAAGATTATTACATGTATTTCCCGACCAGCAGCTGCCGTCTTTTTGATATATCTTTCAGCTTATCAATACCTGGAGGATCCTTATTATCCTTGGTAACCTCCGGCGCGCGACAATCCCATCCAATTTGGTATCGAACCAACATCACGTTGATTCTGGTGGGAGAGTAGTGTAGTGGCATTGGACAATAGCCACACAATCCACAAAGCTGTGAACACGAGACTACTCAGAAAATAGATATTCAATATTTAACTCGGGGAAATACCTAACAATGGAGAAGGCGCAGAGAATGAATTGAATGGACTGAGTTGATCGAGTGGCATGGCTCGGCCATGCAGGCGTGGTCCCTGCTGGATGTTATCTTATATCTCCTATTCATATTAAATATATTGTTCTTTCTCTAGCCTAACCTTGTTCTACATCATGTATTGGTAATTGATACGCTACAGTGAGTTGGTGTAGTCGATGGTGTGACTTCCACGTAAGATCTTATAAATTAGGCAGTTATATCATGACAAATCTACAATTTTAGGATTAGGTCTATTATTAGAGCAGTACTAATATCATAGTAGACCATAATTCTACATATCTACGGTCAAAGTTGAGAAATACAGATCAAAAACTCGAGAAAACTTCTTCCTTACCAAGTATGCAATACTATGGAACAGTCTTCCCTCCGAGACTCGCATGGCAGATGAATTACATACGTTTGTAAAACTGCTTCATCAAGCCCTCACTTTCACTGATCTTGCACGTACGAACACAGCTGCACCCCACTCCGACATCATAGGCTCTCTCTATGTCTAGACCAAAATGGACTTCAAGTTCAGTTTGCCTTATTTTTACTGCTTTGCAGTTGTATCAGCTACTTTTTCCACCCTATTTCTTCACTTTAATTAGACAGGTAACTCGCTGGACCTATCGATACTGTTAAACTAAACTCGGTCGCTAAGGGACATTCACTACCACCCTAAAAAATCAAGAGAACCGCACAATCGACTGCCTACTACCAGTGGTCTTGCATCAATGGAGCCTGTTACCCATCAACTGGTTAGGACAACACAAAATAACATCAGAACCAAGTTAGTGTGAGTACATTCCTGTCTATTTTTTATTAGATTCTTACTCTTCTGTACACTATGCTGACCAGCGATAATTATTATTTCTCCACTCGTTATCTTATCTACAATTCATATACTTCTATACTTTTCCTCCTGCTTTAACAAACAACTATCCTACAATACACCCTTCTTAATGCT